GATCTGCTGCTCACGCACTACGACCCGACGCTGCCGATCGTTGTTGCTGCAGATGCTTCCAACCACGGAGTTGGTGCCGTCATCTCACATACTTTTCCTGATGGGTCTGAAAAGGCGATCATGCATGCATCTCGCACGCTAATCCCTGCGGAGGAGAACTACGGGCAAATAGAGAAATAGGCTCTAGCCCTCGTGTTTGCCGTCAAGAAATTTCATAAACTGTTGTACGGTCGCCACTTCACGTTGTTGACGGATCACAAACCATTGCTGTCAGTCTTCGGTTCGAAGAAAGGCATTCCGATCTACTCAACCAGCCGACTTCAGCGATGGGCAACCATCCTTCTGGGCTACAATTTCGACATTCGCTTCTGTCGTACTACAGACTTTGGTCAGGCTGACGCCCTTTCTCGCCTCATCAGCAATCAACAGGAACCGGAGGAAGATACCGTGATTGCAGCTATTTCGATTGAGGACGATGTGCGCCGTCAGCTATCAGACGCCATACGAGGTATCCCCGTCACTGCCGCGGACATCCGACGTGCTACTGAACAGGATCCCGTCCTCCGTCAGGCCATCACCTACGTGCAGACCTGCTGGCCAACCACTGCTCTCGCTGGCGATATTCACCAGCTCTTCCTCCGCCGAGCATCGCTATCTGTGGTTGACTCCTGCCTCATGTTTGCGGACCGTGTGGTGATCCCTTCTTCCCTCCGACCCACTGTACTACGCCAGTTCCGTTCGGCTCATCCTGGTACCAGCCGAATGAAGTTTATTGCTCGCAGTTTTGCCTACTGGCCGGATATCGACGGCGGCATCGACGACCTGGTTCGACGCTGTTCTCGATGTCAGCAAGCTGCCAAGATGCCGCTTCGTCAGCCTCCAATACCCTGGCAATCTCCGGAGAGGCCTTGGTCACGCGTGCACATCGACTTCGCTGGCTCACTTAACGGAGTCTCCTACCTAATCTTGGTTGACGCCTACTCGAAGTGGCCCGAGATTGCTCCGCTGAATCCAGCGACCGCATCTGCCACTATCGCCTTCCTACGACGCACTTTTAGCCAACATGGCTTACCGGAAGTCCTGGTTTCAGATAATGGCTCTCAGTTTACATCATCGACATTTGAGGATTTCTGCCGCCAGCACAACATCCAGCATCTTCGCTCGCCGCCCTACCATCCTCAGTCTAACGGTCAGGCGGAGCGTTTTGTCGACACGTTTAAGAGTGCCCTTTTGAATGCTCGTGGGGAGGGAACCACGAACGAGATAGTCCGGGCGTTCCTATTTTCCTACAGGACAACACCGAACCCGGCGTCCCCTGGTGGCGTTTCTCCTGCCGAAGCGTTGATGGGCCGAAAACTGCGTACAACGTTTCATGCCCTCGTTCCTACCGGTGCGCAGCCCGCGCAGACTTCTCCAGTCTCTCGCAGCAAACTCTTTATCGCAACACCTGACTTCGTTCATGATTATCGAGCGGATTTCCCAGATTGGATTGAAGCAACCGTAGTAGCGCACAGCGGCAATATGTTGTTTGACGTTGACGTTGGAGCTGACATCGGGGTTCGTCACCACAACCAGATTCGACGGCGACATTGCAGTAACACAACTGGGCTCGATCCGGCGCCGTCACTCTCTTTTGACATCCTACTGAATTTCCTTCGCCATTCCGGCAGATCGGTCGGTTCACGAACCCACTGCTGCTCCTT